TTTAACACTTAAGATAAATGGGTTGGAATTTAAGAAAGTTGTTGATTTATTTAATCTATTACAATTAAAATATTTATATTTTTATATTTTATATAGTTATTATTTAAAGTTTTGATTGATATTTTTTTATATTTGTATTTAGATCAATGATAGATTTGATTTTTTGATGGAAAAAATTATTATTTTTTATTTTATTTATTAAAAAACAAAAATATATAATTAATCTTTTTTAAAAAATTTAATTTTTAAGTAGTCAAAAAAATAAATTTTAATTTTAAAAAAATTTGATGGATCAGTTGGATTAAAATTTTCCAAACTCACCAAAAAGTGAGTCAGGTTTAATTAACCATTTAAAATATTGAGTTATTATAACTCATGGTGAATAAATTCGTGTGCACTTTGAAAACTCTAAATTTGACAAGTAAAAAGAAGTAAATCATATTTTCAAGTAATTTTCAATCCTCTATATATTAATTATCACTTACCATATATAGAACTTGTACGTGCAATCAATTTTAAGAATACCTCCACACTCACCCTAGCCATGAGGAACAAACTTGCACACCCTTTGTGTCTTCTCCTCTTGACTTCATTGACCTTACTTTCAAAATCAAATGCAGGAAGCCTTGTGATTTACTGGGGCCAAAATACAGGTGAAGGTCGTTTGAGAGATACATGTAGCACTGGACGCTTCCAAATTGTGAAGATAGCATTCCTCTCATCTTTTAGCAACGGTCGTGAACCTCAAATCAATCTAGCAGGTCATTGTTCCCCTCAGGCTAATGGTTGCCAAGGGTTAGGCAATAGCATCAAGAACTGCCAAAGCAGGGGGACTAAGGTAAGTTGAGGGTGTACAAAAGCATCCAAATAAATTTACAGATAAATATCATGAGTTTTTTTAGTTTATTTTTCCCCTCTATTGTTATATATTTGAACCTATTATTTCAAGTTTATCAATCTGATTATATGTTTAGCATTTTTCATTTAAATATTAGTATGATTTAAAGGATTGTTAGTGACATTCTAGTATAAACTCTCTTCATTATAGGCTAAAATTTATTGTAACCAACAAATTTTGATAGATCACACTTCTCATTCGATTTTCTCTTTTAATTTTATAAAATTAAGATGCACCAAAAATCAACAAATTATTTGTCCTAACCCTAATAATAATGATTTAATTTCAATTTTCTTGTGCAAAATCTCATGTTCAAGTATTGTGGAACAAAAAAATGTGAACATTGGAAAGGAAAAATATATTATGAATAATGATCAATCAAGTTTCTCAATAAAAATTAATCATTGATAAAATTGGTAAATATTTCATATTAATTACATGATTATAAAAAAAGATAAACATGATAAAATAATAGAAAATATTAACAATAATGTTATATATAAAAGGTATTAAAAAGAGTTTAGAAAGATTCACATAATATTTATGTCTTTATTTTTACATGTACGATTGATCTTCGATCTGCCATTGACATAGGTTATGCTTTCCATTCACATATAATTTATGCCACTAACTCAAAATTTTGAATATGTCATTCACTAAGGTTATGCTTTTCATTGGAGGTGGCAGCAAACACCTACACTTTGTCATCCCCAGATGAGGCCAGACTTCATTTGGAACAACTTCTTGGGAGGGAACTCAAACTCTAGGCCTTTTGGTGATGCCATATTGGATGGGGTGGATTTTGACATTGAAGGTGGGGAACCCCACTATGTGGCACTTGCTAATAAGCTGCATGAACATTATGTTGCTTCTAAAAGAAAATTTTACTTAACTGCTGCACCACAATGTCCATTCCAAAATAATATACTCCACAATGCACTTGCTACTGGCCTTTTTGACCATGTTTGGATTCAATTCTACAACAATCCTCAATGTGAGTTTACCTCAAACCCTAATGGGTTTAAGAGTGCATGGAACCAGTGGACCACATCTATTAAAGCTGGCAAGTTCTTTGTTGGACTTCCTGCCTCACATGCAGCAGCTACTACTGGTTTTGTGCCATCACAAGTTCTCATAAATCAACTGCTTCCTATTGTTCGGTCACCTAAATATGGAGGTGTGATGCTATGGGACAGGTATTATGATTCGCAATCTGGATATAGTGGCAAAATTAGTGGAAGTGTTTGAACCTAAGGGACAATTAATGTTCTTATAATGTGTCTCCACTGCTATTAAATAAAAGTTGTGACGAGACTAGGTGCTTCAAATAACTCTAGTTAACTAAGGAATCGAATCTAAACTCCTATTTTCTAGTTGTAATTTACGATAGAAGTTGATTCCTATGAAAATGAAATAAGAGTGTATTTTAGAAAGTGTCACTCGTTACATGCACTAACTATTAATTTGTAACTAGAAATTCCTTTATTATTGTCTTACTCTTCAGTCATAATATACGTGAAACAATCATTAAAAAAATCTTTTTAAAGTAAGAATAATTAAATGGGTAAAATATACTCGACCGATGAATTAAAAAAATTTAATATATAAATTAAATATGTACAATTTTTTTAACATTTTAAAAACTATTTGATATTCTTTTTCATTAATATAATCATGAATGTATAAAATACTTTTATAATTATCCATCAATTTGAATTATTAAAATAAAGTATCAAATAGTTTTTAAATTTTTTAAAATTTTGTAAACTTTATCTATGCATTAAAAACTTTAAATTCAATAGATGAATCATTGAAATTTGATGTAAAACATGAGTTATTGAGTGAAATAAGTCTAAATAACTTTATTCTTGGAGTAAATTCCTATACATATTAATATATATATATATATAAAGAAGAAAAAAAACAAAAGGAAAATAATACAAGGGACTATATCAAAACTCATAAACAATAATTAACAAAACCTAAAAAATGGAACATCACAACAATTATGAAAAGTTCATCATTAGAAAACTTAGGAAGAGAATCCCACCACTTATATACTAGCATGTGATGAAGCCCATAACTAGCTACTTTATTTGCACTAGAATTTCCTTCTCAATAAATGTGAGATGCAAAAATATACATAATAGAATAAAGATGACAACACCTATTTCGAATTTCCTAAGGAACTAAAGACGCATCCTTAAGAGTTGATAAAATAAGGATATAATCACTTTCCAATCAAAGATTATACCAACCCATCTCATGAATTTTTTCAATGGTCAAAATAATAGTCATTAGCTCAACAAAAAAAATAGATTTATTACTTATTTATTGTCTAATAGTTTAACAGATACATATATTGAAAAAAAATTTCTCCATAAATTTTAGACTAAGAAACTGATCTATGGATATATATATATATATATAAGAGATCCATTTACTTTAAGATTAAGTCTACTTAGAATTTACTCTACTCAATAATTTATAATTTACATCATATTTTAACAATTCAGTCGTTAAATTAAACTATTTGATATTTTACTTTATTAATTTAAATTGACAAATAATCATAAAGGTATTGTATACATTGATTTGAATTAATAAAAAGAGATATCACATAGTTTTTAAATTTTTTAAAAATTTATAGAATTGATCTATACATTGAGAACTTTTAATTCAACAGTTGAACATAAGTTATCGATTGAAACAAATTTAATTAAACTTACTCTTAATAATGGATCCCTCTTCATATAACAATAATTTGTAGGAATTTAGTCTCATTATTTTTAAAATATTTAATTTAATTCTTTAATTTTCAATGTTTAATGTTGTCTTTCCTTCTAATTTCATTAACGACATTAATGTCAATTTGGATGAAAGGATAAGATTGAATATTATTAAAAAAAAAAAAAAAAAGTTAGAAGACTAAATTAAACTATTTAAAAATAGATGGACCAAATTGAATCTTGAAAATAAAAAAAGAACCAAAAGTATTATTTAACCATTATTTTAAGGATTTGTACAAAAACTTAATAATCAAATACAGATAAAATATCACAAACAATTATGTGTATCATTTAAAATGGTTACAACCTTCTAATGAACACAATTAAAAATGGTTACATAAAAGTAAAGACAAACAATAGTTTTAAATTTAAAAAGAATAAAAACAAAGAAAAAAAATTCAGAGACAAAAATCAAAATATGCTAAGTTTACAAAAAAATTAAAAACATATTTAACCTAATTAATAATAATGATTTTAATATTTATGCTTGTTAGCCTACTTGAGTGTATAATTCTATTGCCCTATTTACAGACTTTGTATAGAACAAACCACGTAAAAATAGACTTTCAAACTAGACTTTACACAAGTCAAATGACCTTAAATTAAAGTCTATAACAAGTAAACAATGTAACGAAACCAAGTCAACTATCAGTAGAATCAATTAGGAGAATAAATCAGATGGAAAATAGCCACATTATTAGATATAGAGGGATATTCAATTTTTATTTAAACCCTTGCAGCCAGAAGTTGCCAATAGCCAATATATACGCAGCAATCTAGACTACTGTATGAAAACCACATTGGCTGGTTTCTGGGATGAATAGTTGCACTTTGCATCAGGTCAGCAAGACCGCGGTCCAGATATTATTGTGAAAATCAACATAAACAAACGCTGCTACATATCAAAATTTCCCCATTATGGTTCAATTTTATCCCACTTAAATTCAAATTGTTTGTTTACCTCTCCCCCTACTTGACTTTTAATTGCTTCAACGCCCTAATTGGGTAACGGCTTCAATTTTGTGCTAATTTGTGAAAAATATTTATTTAGTGAAAATCAAAGGCAATATTAGTTATATAGTACATAAACTACCTCTAAGCTCAACTCTAATAAGCCCACAAGTCCACAACACCTAGACCAACCACCTTATCCTCTTTTCTGTGGCTCACTAGAATTCGTTCTCATTCAGCCTTTTTCCCCGTTACATAGAGTAAAATAACTAGTGACATTTAACATTTTTTCAACAATTTTTTAAGTAAACAACGTCTACTCTACACTCAAATGGTTTGACGTACAAAATCAGAAAAACGGATCAATATAATCCAGAGAACTGCATAGAACTATATACACAATTGAATTAGAATTTGTGATTCAGGTTTCCATTTACAAAGATGAGTATCATTCCAACACTCATTTATAACCATCAGTGCAATTACAGTAAGACACAAAAATTTTCCCAAGTGATGGTGCTTCCTTTCCTACCTAGGGAATGAAGCAACGCCTTCATGAAGAGGCACACAGAAAACACTCACTGGGATTTTTATCTTCACCGGAAAAGCACACCTGTAACCATTTTAATCCGGGACACTCTTGCATCATTGTTCAATGAGCCATGATTCAAATATATGAACTTGTAATTGACCTACGAAATCAATCCATCATAGTATTCAGAAATTACATTATTCAATGTGTCATGGTTTTTCAAAATTAAACGCCATGCCTTGTTCTTTCTTTAGATACAGGAATTATCAGTCCACTCCACTACTACTACAACTAGATCCTAGTCCATGATGCAAAAGCATCAACTCAAGCAGTTAGAAATCTGAGAAAAATACAATCCTGATTAGATAACAAATCAACATAAAACAATCAATTTATTTTTATAAAAAAATGGATTATCGTATTACAATTCAGCAGATATTGAACCCTTTGCTACACGAAGGGTGTTGTTTTTCATATGGCGAGTAGTTTAAAGAATCATGATTACCGTATCAAATCCTTAAAAGTCTAATCCACATCCTGAAATAGGCATGAAGAGGGTAAACTAAAATTACCCTAATTCAGGTGATTTCTAATAGAATGCATATCCAGTATTTAATTTGACTGACCTGACTCTGCGATCCATGTTGTACAGTACAGACATTCAATTCCTACAGTAAAGGACAAAAATTAAGGAATTTTACTGCAGATATTTTCGTTTCCAATTCATTAAAATCATTATGTTGTTTAGAAAGCAGAGAGAAAGGAAGTTGAACCTTTCATTTCAATAAAGGGGCATAGGGAGCAGGGCATGGAGATATACTGTGGTCTGGTAGCTGATTTATGAAATCAGTGGTTGCCTGCAAACAGGCATGGAGCATTTTTTTTTCCAGCCTAACATATTGGGTAGCAACTCGCTTCTTTGGATTCAGATTACCATCTGTCAGCTAATGAAATATATAAATTATCAATGAAAAGTTGACTAGTTTTAGACTTTCTTATAAATTTATAATGAACTATGAACTTCTAATTCAAACAAACAGTACCATCAATTCATCTTCAGCCAATGTTGTAGGGTAACCAGCCAGTCGTGTCTTGAAATAATCAGCCAGCTGGTCCAACACAGCCCGTTCCATACAAGGGCTTACCTATAATGTATAAATGGAGTCAACTTTTCTCATCGCAAGATTTACTCTACATTTAATTATATACAAATACTTTTTTTTAGAAAAAGGGAATAAAATCATGTTTTAATTTATCACTACTTCCAAGATCAGACCCTCAAGTTATGAAATAAATATATAAGAGATAAATGGATAGGACATCAACGGAACTTATTTTACCAGTATCTGGGACAGATACTAGACTGTGACGATGGCATTCTTAAAATTCAAATAGGGAAAGCACTGGATGAAACAAACTTACAGGACAAACTGGACCTTGAGAGGAGATGACAGATTGCATCTCAGAAGGATCTGAAACATAGCCCAAACGCATATAAGGAAGCATATCTAAGACAGCTTCTCTTTCCTTCCCAACATATACCTACACAAAGGTTGAACTAAGGAATTAATGAGAAATTTCACTAAATAACGCTCAACAGAAGTAGGTTCAGTATTTATACATGAAAAACTTGTACTGATAACTTTCCATTTCTTTGAGCCACCATTCTTTTATCTTGATACTGTGGATCTTCAGTATTTAAAGCTGCCTGGGACAGTTGTATCAGCATGGTTAAATTTGAATTTAAACAACAAAATATTGTACAAAACAAAGTAAATGTCCAACACATACCTCAACTATTAGACGATCATTGGAATTATTTTCATCAACAAAACCATAGTTTATTAGTAACTTTGAGTTAGATTGTGGGCCACACCTGAAAATGATCAACTGTAAATCTTATAATGAAGTTCCTATTACAGAAACAAAGTCATTGCCAAACTATGTCCTTTATCCCAATTACATGAAATCAAATAAAGTATTATACCAGACAACAATAGGGTCCCCAGCTTTATATGGGCGATCAACTGCGAGCTCAACAGCACCATCAACTGCAGTTAACATTGCCTTACAGTTGCTTTGGTAGGCCAGCAAAGGAGGTCCCAAGGGAACTAAAGCAAATCTCCGAGCTAAACTAACTTTCTGATTCCAAAAAGGATAAGCAATCAATTTCATTTTAAAAAAAAAAAAGCGAAGCAATATATGGACATTATATAAGGCAAACAACTGCTGTTGTCCAGACAGTAGAGCACTGAACTCCCAGCAAACATATTAAATGGCAAAAGCAGGACACTAAATTAATCAATTAGAAGTCTATCAGAGCATATTAAGAGAAATCGTGAAATGTAATGACAACAACTATCCAAGGAGTGCAAGGAAATTACTGCAGTACACAAAAGTAAGAAATAAGATCAATAATATCCAAGCATGCTGGAACCCAAACACATTCAGCAGTTGCAATAGTAATTTTTTCTATTTAAATTATCACCACTTCATCTAACAAATCCAACAATCAATTAAAATTAAAATATATCTAAAAATTAGATCAAATAAGTAAACTAGTAAAGCTCTACAGCCTGATATTTAATTGTGTCAGGGAAGATTACAGCATTTCAGATTCAGGTAATTCGATTCCATGTTCAAATGTAACAACCTCATTAGAGTTCAATCAAAATAGACTTAAACGATTGGTAAGCCACTGTTTAGTTTGGAGTTTTTTAGCATAATTCTAACTGTGTCTATACATATCAGATAACAAAGAAATTTTACCTGTAAATGCACCACACAAGACTGAATAGCAGCAAAGGCTTGTTTGAAAATCTCAAATGAAAAAGCCTCCGTAGGAATGTCATATGGATATTGCTGCATTATATTTATGCACATAGTGTAAGCACTAACTTTTAAAATGTAAATAACTGGTGAACTTGTTCTAGTGCATTTTTGTTTACCTGAAACAGAGAACCTGCCATAAACCAGACTGTGTCAAGTTCATTATACTCTTTTCTTATTGCTTCTTCCCTTTGAATTATTTCAGCCTAAATCACAGACATCAGAATTTAGACTGATTATATTTGAAAAATATCGAAGCATTAAACCAACCTAACATTGCCGCTCATCAGTACAATCATGGTTGTCAAACTCTCGAGTTAACTCGTAAACTCGTACGAATCTACGAGTCTAGGGTAGCAAAACTAGTTAACTCGGGATCAGAATCGTTTTTTGATAGACTCGGGTGGACTCGGGTAGACTCGCTCAGAATCACGAGTCTGAGGGCGAGTCCGCGAGTCAACGTTAGTTTTTTTTTTTTGCCCCTAAATGCCCCAAAACAACGTCGTTTTAGCTAGGGTTCCTAAGTGAGCACCTCTATTTTCTTCAATCCCTTTCCCTCCGCGCATACGAATGAACACTGACTCCTCTTTGTTCTTCGATCTCTCTCCCTCCGCCGCATACAAAACACCATCCGACTTCGTTCAATCCGCCCGGCGCCGTCGTTGCAGCTTCCAGCACCGTCGTTGCAGCTTCCGGCCTCGTCCCTACAGTTTACAACGAGCTATTCGTCAGGTTTTCCTGCTCCCCACCGGTCACCGTCTGACTTCGTTTTCCTGCTAGTTAGTGTTACTTCTTACTCCTAACATTTTTTGATTTTTTGGTCTGTTAGTGTTACTTAGTCTCTTACTAGTTACTCTTGTCTCCTATAATTAGTAAGATGTCTGAAATTGGTGGTGGCTCAAAGTCTTCAAGCAATGGAGTTTCTTCTTCCAGAGCAAGGAAAAATGCCCCTGGAAATAGGACTGAAATTGGGTGGAAGCACGGGACAGATGTTCAAGGCAATGGGAAAAAGGTGAAGTGCAACTATTGCACAAAAACTGTCAGTGGGGGGATATTTAGATTTAAGCATCACCTTGCTGGTACTAGAGAAGATTCTGAACCATGTGCAATGGTACCAGAAGAAGTTAAAATTCTAATGATGAAAATTGTTGCAGAGGCTAAAGAGACATCAATGAGGAAAAAGAGATTGCTTGATATTGATGAGGAAGATGACATAGAGAAAGAGATGGACATGAGGGCTTTGACAAAAGGAAAAGGAGTTGGTGGTGCTGGAGTTCAAATAACATTAAACCAAATGATGAAAAAAGACTACAAGGACCAAGTTGATCAACAAGTTGCAAGGTATTTTTACACAAGTGTCATTCCCTTCAATTCCATTAAAAATGTAGAGTTTATAAAGATGTGTGAGATGATTGGGAGATATGGAATTGGTTATAAACCCCCTTCTTATCATGATGTGAGGGAGAAGCTCTTGAAACAAGTTGTGATTGAAACCGATTCAATGCTTGAAGAGTTTAAGAAGGAATGGAAGAGGACTGGTTGTTCAATCATGTCTGATGGATGGACAGATAAGAAGAGGCGATCAATTTGTAACTTTTTGGTCAATAGTCCTAAGGGGACAGTCTTCCTATATTCATTAGACACATTTGACATCTCTAAAACAGCTGATAAAGTTTTTAAAATGTTGGATGATGTTGTCAATTATGTAGGAGAAGAGAATGTAGTCCAAGTTGTTACAGACAATGCTGCAAATTACAAGGCAGCAGGTGAAATGTTAATGCAGACACGGAAGAATTTGTATTGGACTCCATGTGCTGCTCACTGTATTGATTTGATTTTTGAGGATTTTGAGAAGAAGCTAAAGGTTCATGAAGTGACTATCAAGAAAGGAAGAAAGATTACCACCTACATATACTCTAGAACAATGCTCATTAGCATGTTGAAGAAGTTCACTAAGGGGAGGGACTTGGTTAGGCCCGGTATAACTAGATTTGCTACTGCTTATTTAACTCTATCTTGTCTCAATGATAATAAAGCATCATTGATGTGTATGTTTAGTTCAAATGAGTGGAAATCAAGTAAGTTTTCCTCTACACCGGAGGGAAGAAAGGTGGAAGGCATGGCTTTAGATAGTCGTCTATGGAAGAACATAATCATATGTCTCAAAGCCGTTGTTCCTCTTATGACTGTCCTTCGCTTGGTGGATTCTGATGAAAAACCTGCCATGGGTTTTATATATGATGGGATGGATTGTGCCAAGGAAAAGATAAAAATCAACTTTGGCAATGTTAAGAAAAGTTAAACTTTTCTTAATTCTAAACTATATCTCCGTTGAAATTTAATGTTCTTATTTAGTATAGTTATGTACTCATGTTTCTAGTATATGATAATGGCAATATTCCTAACTTGTATTTATTTCATATTTATAGCTATGAACCTGTATGGAATATTATTGATGAAAGGTGGGATAAACAACTCCATAGACCCTTACATGCAGCTGCATATTACCTCAATCCCCATTTCCATTATGACCCTAATTTTAGAGATGATGATGTTGAGGTTAAACAAGGGTTATACAATTGTATGACAAGGTTGGTGAGTGACTTGAATGAGAGGAGCAAGATCGGTATGCAACTTGTTGACTTTCATTATGCTAGAGGGTTGTTTAGTCTTGATACTGCAATGGCTAGTAGGAAGGTTATGCTTCCTGCAGAATTATGGGGATGGATGTCCAGAGTTAAAGAAGTTTGCCATCCGTGTACTAAGCCTAACTTGTAGCTCTTCTGGATGTGAGCGTAACTAGAGTTCATTTGAAATGGTAATTGAATTAATGTCTTTGTTTTTAGTTGTTAATTTTTTATGTTTAGAAATTAAGAGTTATAGCCTTATAGGTAATCTTGAAATTTTGGTTTTTGTGTTCTATTTTCTAGGTTCATACAAAGAGAAGAAATCGCTTGCATCAAAGGAAGATGAATGATTTGGTTTATGTGATGAATAACTTGAAGTTAAAGAGTAAACAAGTGAAAAAAAATCTTGTTATTCCTTTTGATGAACTTCATTCTGATGATGAGTGGATAACTGAGGAGGGAGATGCTAATTTTAATGGAGAGAATGTCCAACCACCACTTAGGGATGAAAATGAAAATGTGAATGATGGTGGAAATGCTGAACCAGTTGGAGATTCAACCAATCCAACTTTAGATGACCTTGAGGATTTGGTCTTTAATGATGTGAATATTAAAGAACCCTTATAATCAAATGAAGAGGATGAGCTTGAAGAAAATGAAGATGATGATAATGCACATGAATTTGTTGGAGGATTGGACTTTGATTGATAAATTTAGATCTTGTTTTATGGTTTTGACTTGTGGACTTATGTGTTTTCGACTTTCGGTTGTTCATGTATGGTTAAGATTTGTATTATGACATTTTATTGTTGCTATTTGACTTATTTCAGACTTAGAATGTTGAATTAGTGTTATCATATTGTGTGTGTTCATGTTTTTTAATATCTTTTAATATTAGGTAGACTCTTACAAGTCTACGAGAGCTCCACGAGTTTGTGTAGACTCTCGAGTTTGACAACCTTGAGTACAATTGATGTAGTATTCATCATTAGTCAAGAGAAAACTGGGGGAAACCTTAATTGGACTTCCTGACAGGTAATCCAACTCAGATTCTGACCATAGAAGAGGTGATTCCACCGCTAGCTGGCCCCTACCTCGTTGTCGATCAAGCTCCCTGATGTATGGATACCAGAAAGACTTCTTCCCCTGTTTTTTCTCATACATCAGATACAATGCCAAGCATGCCAATTCCGACAATTTATTTGTAGCCAATAGCTCAGCTGCATGAATAAAGCACAAGAAATAAATTCAAAGTTTTAAAACAGTTCTATACACCTCCAATCCTCTGATAACTAGCTTTCATTAAACTTGAACTGCACAGTGACAAAAAATCAATTGCTACAAGTAGGAAACAGGACACAAACCACCCTTTTCATTGTCCTATAAATGAATTCAAGGTAAGGTGTTTACCATATACACATAGAAAGTGATCATCAACTACTGTTTTCTAAGATCCATATAGAGACCAAATTAAGAATGAAAGTAACATATAAGTATGAACCAAAACCATGTTTTAAACAAAAGAAAGTATTAAGGGCTTGTTTGATTATCTTCTCACTTTTTTTGTTTTAAAAACTTTCCAGAACAATTTCACACTCTTTGCAAATAATTACTTATCCAACATCTACTTAGTTTTGGAAATTGTTTCCAGAACAAGTATTTTAAAAACCAAAAAACATAAACAGTTGAGAGATATTTTCTCATCATCTTCTTTTGGTTCCTTCAAATGTTATGCACAAATACTCAAGGAACAAACTTCAAAAGTACAGAAACATGCTCAGGAGACAAAAACTTTCAAATGTAATCAAGGAACAAACAAATTTTAAAAAACAGAAAACTATTTTTAAAAACAGTAAACAGACAAGGCCAAAATGTTTTTTCATTTTCAAGCTATTTTAAGTTACATCACTTGTTAGCAAATTAATAAGAAAATATGTGAAATATATGCAATTTGCATATTCTATTGTAATGGAGAGAGGCACAAGACAAGTCAATTTCAAAGTTTAAAAACAACATTGCAGAATTACCAACAGTCTCGTTTCCCAAGACCCTCTCCAGGGTAACCACCAAGGAATTAGGAACGGAGAATGCAACATCACCAACCTGCAAGGAAAAGAAAGACAAAAAAGGCAAAGATATCATGCAAATTCAAAACGTTGTAAGAGGTTACTATAAAGTTAAAATAGGCAATAAAATCAAGTAAATTTCGAAAAATCCCAAGGAGTCGGTGTAATTTGCTCAAGAAGCACTCACAACAACACGTGTAGGGACTAAAACTAGTAATCTTCTTGCATAGAGACTAAAATTTAAAATGATGAACACTATAAGCGCCAATTGAATAATAGCTCAACCTAATAATAGTAACAACAAATTATAACGATAATGAAATTATTCTGCGGTGGTGAATGAACCTGAAGATCTTGACTAGCTGCAACGTAATGTATAGGCTTACGCGAATCATTGTGGCAAGGTTTATCCTTCAGAACAACATTGCACGGAGGTAGGCCGTGTTTGTGCATCCACGATTTCAGGTCCTCCTCGTGCTTCTCCCCGACGCCGGCCACGACGGCATCGCCGCCGGCGATTAAGGTGTCGGGGTTGGAGGCGGAGCAGAAGCTGCTCCTCCTCCTCCGGCGGCGGAGGTTGACGGCGAAGAACGTGGGCGAAGAGGAATAGCGAATCGGAGGGGAGAGGAAGCACGTGTCGGAAACGAAGAGGCGCGAGAGCTCCATAGGGTTAGGGTTTTGGGAAATTGGGAAATGCGTTTTGAGAAAGAGGGTTTCAGTTTTGGAGAAAGAAGTTGGAAGAAGAAGAAGTGTGTGTGCTGTTGAGGTTTGGTTAGAGAGATATTTTTGGTGTGGGGTTTTAGAGTGTTGTAATGAAAGAACAGTTGTGTCACAGTGAGGAGGATAAGAGTGAAAGGGAAGTATGAATTTGGGTTGGATCGGAGGGAATAAAAATCGGGTTTTTTTTTACTATTTTAATATTAAAATAAATAAAAATAATTACCCAAGATCAAATAATGCATGTTTAACATTATTTATCGAATAGATGCAAATACTATTTTCCATTCATAATTCAGTTGTCCGTTGACTAATATGCACTATTTTAATATAATGTTAAAAATTATCAAAATACCATTCTTAAAAAAGTATATTTATCATAGTGTTAAATTTACTGTTCGTCTTACATTTGATTTCTCACTTACATTTTACAAATTTTTTATTTCTATAATCAATTACTCAATTGCATTTTTTTTTCAACTTTGGTTTTTTTTAAATTATTAATTTTCTATAATAAATATTTTCTAACTAATTTATTAACTTAAAAATTAGTTAATATTTAAATGAATTTTTATTTTTATTTTAACGGTATTTTTTATACTTAATAATTTTATAATGTGTTTGATTATTCTTTAAAAGAAAAAAATAAATAAAAATACATAAATATAGTATAGTTGATAAAAATAAAATTTCAAACAACATCTGAAATTATTAAAATTGACTTCCAGTTAAAATAACATAAGGAACAAAATGAAAGGTAAAACAATATAATATTATTAAAAAAAATATTGTTGGTAGTCGATTTCTTCATGAGAAGGATTTTTTTTTCTTAGTATGACATAGATTCTTACACATGAAACATCTTTTTAATTGATCAAAGTTTCATCATATCCATTTTTATGTGTATATGTGAGAATTTTAGACAACCCATTTTATTTCTTTCCATGTCCAAATTAGGTTAGATTTGTGGTTTATTACGTTGTGATTAATATTGTTCATTGCCTAACTCCTCAACTAATACTTTATACAATGAGAGGATGTATTCCAACGTGTCAACAAGATGTATGTAAGACGTGTAATGATGGTGAGCACATTTATGAGTAATAATGACATATAATCAACGCATGTGTAATTTCTAATTTTTTTTACAATCAATCCATAATTCATCTAGTGTGACTATGACTTGTCCAACCTGTTGTCCCTTTCTTGGACCAGGAAATGTATATCGCATATGTTGAACTTAAGCAAATGTTGAGAGTTTGCCTTATTATTTGTCCATCTGTGAACATGTATTTCATCTGGTTAGTGATTTTAAAAGTGTTTTCCAATAACATTTAATCCTAGAAATCTAACTATGGGTAATCACGTGACACTTTTCTACCCCATGTTATTTTATATAATATAAAAAAAAACAAATTGTAAATAATAATATATCGTTCTCACATGTAAGAAGGATTGACATTAATTGTCTTATTGCATAAAACTCCATAAATAAATACTAAAATAAGTTTCAAAATAAAATATGATTAAGCACTAAACAACCTTGGCAAAATATGAGGTTGTAAACATCAATTTTGTTCCCTATATTTTTCACCAATTTTCCTTAATTTCACTTATTAACTTCTTTCTCAAAATTTTCAAATCATAGTTAAAATGACAATTCAATTCAATACAATAAATTAGCCTTAGAATAATCAATAATTTACAAACTAGATTTAAACTCTAATAAAATTATATATGTATATATATATATATATATATATATATATATATCTAAG